TTGCAATCAATACCACCGATGCCGCCGACGCCACCCATCGATGCACCAGATTATTGATTTGACTAATTAATTGATTTAAGGATTAGGCATAAATCTAGATAATTTTGTATATAATAAATTATTATTATTAATCAATTTGTGTTAAGTTTTTACTTGTATTAAAACAATTTAATTAAGATATTAAATATTTTTAAATGAATTTTATTGACAATTATTATGACAAGTTTTATCAGATTATTTGAAACAATACGAGAATATCATAAACAAAATACATTTACCATGGATTTACTTTTATATTGTCATCGATGGTTTGGTGGGGAAAATACCTATGTTGTCAGACTAATATGGGTTTATTATGATACCTCAGTTAACAGTATTATACAATTTAAAATTTGTTATTCATTAACAATTTATTAATGATTTGTTTTAAAAATAAAAAACATTTACAATAAATTCAGAAACAAATGGTTTGAAAATTTAACTTAAAACTAATAATTGTACATAATAGTCAACATTTTATTTACAGTATATTTCAAAGGCGCTTGTTGAGTTTAAATGGGATTTTTTATTACTGTTTTAACTTAAGAAGTACATGTGTATACTCAAGAATATACAGTATACTTTTACTGTGAATGTCAAACTGTTTACTGTAATAAAAACACAAATAGTGTACTCATTGTATACTCAATGCTATGAATTAAATCTATTTAAATAATTTAATTTCTAACGAAAGTTAAATAATTTATTTTAAAAACACTATTTAAATCATTTTTGTACCTTTACTTAAATTATTTACATTTTTGTGGTATTTTATGTATAAATTTCTTAATATATTTCAAGTGATGATAAATAATAAAATTTTCCTAAATTCTAACATTGAAATCAAAATAAATAAATATTAATTCAATTAATTTACATTTACTGTATATTTCCTTCATTTACTAATTCATCAAAATATAAAACATTTGACATAAAAAAATAAATAAAAAAGTCGAGAAAACACAGTAAATGTCATAAAAACACTTTTATATCAAACGTTATCATTAGGTGATAATAAAACAATAAATACTGTCATATAATGGCAATTAACTAATGTAGGAAACAATTAATACACAGTTAGTTATCAGTAGTTAAATAATACTTAATCGTAAATAACATACAAAATGTATACTCGAAGAATGGAAACACAAAAATGAATGAAATGATTATTGAAATCAAACGAAATCAATGGTTGACTTGATTTGAGAGTCTTGTAAGTGTTGAGCCAACTCTTCCAGCTCTTGTAACACAAATTCAGTCCTCTCCACCTTATATGCGACCAATTGATGGTAGAAATGGTAGGCAAAGTAGATGAAGGCGCCGATCACTGGCATCAACACAATTGTTGAGACAATGGCAACCCAACCGCCGTATATAAACCAGAACTTAACCCAAACAATAATCGTGAGCTCGAGTAGGAAGAGAAAGATCCCAATCACTGTCGAGAAGAACCACGCGATGGACGTAAAGTGTCTCATCTTATGGTGTGGGGAGTCGTTATGGAGAGACGACTGTCCGTTATGTATGGCCGACACGGCGTCGATGTGCGGCAATATACAGGTGGAGATCATTAGCGCCAACATATGCACCGACACTAACAAAGTGGTCACTATTATGAAGAGCAGCAACAGTGAGAATGGTATCATGTTTTTACTCTTTTCATCTGTTTCTACGTCCAACTCGACCATCGCTACCTGTTTAAAAAGTTGTTTGAGCGCATGATTTAGTTTTGAGGTTAATTATTTTTTTGGCAAAAGTTTTGCGATCACTTACTAATGCAAATCCGGATAATAGGGCCGACACTTGCGACGACTGTTTCAGTTTAGATCGGCTTAAGTGCAGGTTTTTGTAATCAAAATACAGGGACTTTTGTTTAGTAACCATTTCTTATTGTTCATAGTTTTTTCGTCGAAAGAAAAAACAATATTCACACCAAAACAGAAAACTTTTCACTAATTATTATACAATGGATGTTAACGTGAAATGAAGTTGTGTTGAGACACAGTCTCTGTGTATGTGTTATTTGATGTCATTCTCGTAAGGAATATGATTTATGACATGACTTAGCATTCATTCATAGATACGGAACGATGTGTTGAAACTCAATATTAATACATAAACGTCTATTTGAAGTATATTTCAATGGAAAACATATTTTTCGTGTTTAG